TTACAATTTTCAAGCAGTCATCTCTCTTTTGTTATGTAAGTGCCCCAATGAATGATGTTTATACATTTTTACTTACCAGTTTTTGATTAGTTTTGGCATCAAGTCTTTCTAGTTCATCTTCCATCATAGATGTGTCCTTGTCTTTGGCGTGACTTTGTCTGATAACCTGAAATGCAAATAAGAATTCTTATAGTGTGGGGTCTATAACTTATTCTTCTGCAAATGAAATTTTCATTCAAGTGAATACAAGTTTTTAGGAGAATTTTCTGAGAACTGAGGTTTTGCAGTTATGTTTACATGTACCTGCTATGTTTTACAAGCCATGTATATGGCAAATACCTATTACACAAGAGAATGGGAAGAACACCATTCTTCCATTATAAGCACAGAGCCTTTAATAATTTACAGTTCTTTACATGAAAGTTTTAGGCAATACATGTACATCTTTACATGTGCACTAGATTTCCTTTTTTTTCAAATCAACTTTGCATTCCAAGAAAGTTACATTGTTTAATAAAGTAAAGTAAAGACATATGATCATAATTTTTTGGCCTCATTCACAGTTTTGCAAAATGGTTCCCAGTACGAAAAGTGTATCCTAGTCAAACTATTTTTTCTTCAATAGGAAAACTGAGACAATACTATTCTTTCTAAAGATCTGAAACAGACAGTCCAATAAAACAAACAGCCCCCACCTGTTCCTCTTCCCTCCTTTCATCCTCCAGCATCTTCCTCTTGTTCAGTAGATCTTCCTTCACATTCCTCTCTACAATTGACCGGGCAGGATCCCCCACCTTCAACTTCTTCAGTTGTTTTTTAACCATATTGAACAAAACCTACGGAATATATTAAAATATCATTTACCACAAGGTCTACCTGCATTTATATTTTTCAAAAAACACACTTGATGTTTATAATCAACAAATCTTTTTTCATTGAAACAATATGATTAAAATAAGAACTGATAAGAAAACAATACCAGTAGTTTTTTATGTTTGTATTATTTATATATCACTTTTTAAAAACAGGGTATTGTATCAGAACCAAAGCAAAAATTGCAATGACTGTGATAAAAATGTCTATTGTAATTAGGACCATATATGATGCATACTTAAACGACACTTAATTCTATCTTGAATTCATGTAATTGCCGGGATAGTTAACATGGACTTTATCGTTAAAATCTATATTTCTACGTGCCTGGTCTTTTGCAGCCTGTAAAGCTCTCATCAAGGCATCAACTTTCTTTAGATCTTGTTTGGTCATCTCATTTTCAGCATCCTCACTGTAAATAAAATGAAACCAACAACATGAACAACACAAAAAATTACAGCATCACCTTAAATTACACACCTGAAAAAGACAAAAATTAATATCAACTCTGTTATTTTCTATCCTGTGGAAATCAGTATCTGGTCAAATTTTCCCAGATCTAGAAGAACAAAATAAAAATACTATAAAAGCCTTCAAGTTGCAACATTCTCTCTCACCTGTGAAAGTTTGTCATGATTTTGCCCAGTCCTTCAGCCCCGGGGAGTGTCTCTGTGGTCAGTAATGGTCCACCCTCCCCCTCTTCATCAGATCCCTCCTCTATCTCTCTCCTCGTCAATTTCTTCACCTTTCTTTCAGTCTTGCCAGACTGTCCCCTACCCTTAACTTTGTCTCCTGTATATTTTGCTTGGACAACATTAGTTGGTGTTTGGTTCTTCTCTAATTCTTTCAGCATAGCCTCCTCATCTTCTTGTCTCTGTTATAAACATTGGAATAAAATAAAATTATATATACCCTTTTTCTTGTAATTAATGGTCTCACAATGCAAATAAAAGATCATTTTCTTTTTTTTTAATCTTTGTTTTATTTAATTTGCATTTATTTGTCATGTTTGTATATTTAACATGACATTGTTTAATTTTCTTCCCCCAACTCTATGCATTGATTTAAAACAAAACCTGGAATATTTTTTTTCAAATAATGAATGTAGCATTTCTATTCCTCACAGGATCATTTCATAATCACAATAATATTTAAACATTCCCAATGATCAAGTTTTTTTTTCGGCCATATTACCACTAAAAACACATCACAACAAACATTATGTCTCTGAGGCCATCCTTAAAAAATTTATTTTTTGCGGTAACGCGCCTCATCATTTTAGGTGTGAGTAGGTAGGTAGGCTTTTTTTTTTTTTTTTTTTTGAGACAAAATGTCAGAAATAAATAACATTGATATAGAGGTATTAACTATGTCTCAATTTTCACCTTACTTATCTAACAGGAAAATTAAAGCATTCTAAATATATTCAATCTTTTATTGCTCAAATATCAGAACACATCAGTTCTTTTTAGGCAAACTTTTTCTAAGAAAGTGACTCTCATCAGCCACGTACCTCAAATAACTGACTCCACACTAATCTAGTGTTTCGGTGATGTGATATTTACGAGGTTTAAGATTTTGATAGTTTATTAATTAGCTGCAAATCCGCGATCATCCCACGTGGAATTTCGTCTGCCACCAATTTTGTGGCGATCTCGTAAACATCATACCATGTATCTGTAAAGTGGAACTGACGCACAATATTTTTTTTTGCCAAGTAATTAAGATGTTTTTCCTAAAAAATTTACTGTAACTGACAGAACTATAGAGTCAATATATCCCGCAACCTTCTCGGATGCCATCTCTAAATTTGTAGATCACAAAGACGTTTTAATAGTACTTGGAGGGAAAGATAAAGTATCGGTGTAACCGAGACGTAAAAAAATATCAATCGGATAAAAACGGAAAATGGATATGTAAAAAAAAAAAGAAGAAGATTTTTGAACCGATAAAAAAAATCCAGTCGGGTGGATTTTGGTGAGTCGGTCGCGTTACCGCAAAAAAACAATTCTTTAAGGATGGCCTGACTGAATTTAATATTGAGTAAAACAGAACGTATATTTCTGAAGGAAAGATAACAAAAGAAAATAATTTATTATAATAAATCACATTTTAAAAAAAATTGTACATTTTAATCTATTTCTGCATGATAATAATAAAAGTAAAAGTGCATAGATCTGTTAATGCGCATCATTTTAGATTGGATATAGACATTTTTTATTCAATGATTCACAGCACAAAATGAACAGAGAGACAAGCAAACTTACTTTTTTCTTCTCCAGATCCTTCAGGCAAAATGGGACACATATTGCTGCGAGCAGAGCACCCAAAAATAAACCCAGGAAAAAGGCACCAGCCATCCAGCTAGAATCCACAGAGAACTGATCCTGTACTAGGTTAACTACGGCTGGAACACACACATCAGATGGAGAATAGTAAAAGTAATTCCCCGAGGAAGCCATGATCACTTTTTTCTCTCTTTTTTCTCTTTAATTAATTGACATCTGAAATGAAATAGTTCCCCTTGTGAAACGTATCATATTAGATAAAATGTTCTATCGTTAAAATTTACTCCAAGAACTAAAACCTAAATATTTTTTTTAAATTACAAATTCAGAGACACCTTACCTTTTACTACACCAATTCTTTAGATTTTACGGTGCTATATATTGTATTGACACGTTCAGCGTTTAAAATTAGACGCCATTTGTAAATAATGTGTTGCGATGTCCGGAGAGAGAATAAAATCAAAAAATGACGTACAGAACTCTTGATTACTGTACATTCGTTTACAATGAAAATTTTCAGTCGATGTTTTAATATTAGAGGCTAAGGGTATTTTCCGCAAAGTAAGTAAAGCATGATTTATCAGAAAAAAGTATTCTTAGGAATTTCAGAAAATGCAGCGTAAATCTATGAATGATTCCGCTTAGTGTTTGAACCGATTGGATTTGATTATTATGCACACTTTATTTACTTCCGTTGCTATTCTAAACATGATCGCACCTGCCTGATCAGCAAGAAAATTGAATGATGGACAAGCTACCGTGATTTAAAAACATTGACAGGTATCGGTATTGCTTAGAAAAGTCTATTTGTTTTGTTCAGCACGTTTTGTTTTTTGGTTATTGGTTTATAATTAAAAAAAAATATTTCTTATACCTGGATTAAACCCCTGTATTTCCAACTTACTTTATACTGTTATACACGCATGGCATAGAAAAACAAGACTTTAAACAAATATTTCACAGGTAGATCTTTCATCAAGGCGAAGTCAAACACGAAGATGTAAGGAAAAAAAAATCTCATGAATTTAACATAATTGCAGCCTTACTTTCATTCAGCATACTGTATAATAAATTTCTTCTTTTTTTCTGTTTAATACAATTATGTGTACCTCATATACATGTCCATGTACTAAGTAATTTGTGTGTACTTTCATTACATATGGTAGAGCATGTATGTATAGCAAATATATTAATATTATTATTAATGCTAATTAACTTCATGCAGAAATGATTGTTTAGTTAACATTGGAATCCATGAAAGAACAGCTGGCATAGTCAAATTTTAAAAGAAAAACAATATTAGCAATACAATACACAATGGTTTATTTAACTGCAGTTGTGTTTGCTTTATAACTTCTGTAAATACCTTATTCACTTTAAATAAAACTTTGATCTGCCTCTTCAAAATGCACAATACATTTAATAAATGGAACATGTCCTGATTATCACATGACATAATTGTATGCACTAAGTTGCCTTTCCCTAACAAAGTCTCAAAAAGGCAAATATTTAACAAAGAGCATCTAGTTAAGAATCTTTGTGCAATTTCCATTAAAGCAAGTGAGTTATTTTTTTATTATTGAACATTAGCTAAAGACCAATACTTCAGTTATGGAAAAACAGTCTGTGTTGCATCGTTGATCCAGAGGTAACTTTGGGAAGAGAAAAATCAGACTTTTGAATTAATGCATAAGTATACTCTGCTTAGGGATTTTTGTACTTAGGGCTCACAGTGTGAGCAGCACTTTGAGCTCAATTTAAATTGAAATGTTTAAACAGATAAATGAAGGATTTATAAGTAACCTTTGAGATTCATATTCTCAACATTATTTTCAGTGAAAACAAGATGTTGCTGTTCATTGTTGTGCAGCTCTCCCTGCTAGTGACCTGTCAGTCATTTAAAGTGTCCGATTTGACTGAACTTTATGTGGAAGATATTAATGTCACTAGAGTGGACGATTATGCATACTTTTACAATGTATGTGGTTTGTTTTTATTTTGTAAACAATGCAATATAGAATTTGAAATTAAAAAGAAAAAAATATGAATATCTGTTTGATCATATATGATTTATGTTTATTTTGAAATAAAATTCATTTTTCTTTTAAAACCAAAATAGTTAAATCAATTTTTTTAAGCATAACCATTACACATTTGTACAATACTTTCCATGGATTGAATTCAATATTAGTGGTAGAAAAAAAAGTTTGAATAAATTTTCATTTAATATTTGCAACTTTTTCAGCTGCATACATATGCAGAAAACACATCTGTAAATCCTGCTTATGTGAATACATCTTCCTTTTTCACTGGTACACCCAATGTTGCCGGTTTAGTGGTGGATTTTACTGAATGGAAAGTGAATTCCACTGGAGCCACTGTAAACACACTTCCTCTGCTCAAAGTCATACAGAGATGGGAGGTAAACTTTATTTGATTATGCACTGAATCAGAATGAGATCCATATACATACTTAACCTTTATGAGTCCTCTCCCATTATTAGGAAACTAACATAGTTTTGAGTCAAATAATAATGAAAGCAGCTATGGAAGTAACATTCCAGTTATTCTAATTTCTAGAATTTGAGGTTTATGTTTCAGGTTAAACTAATTTTTGAAAATAAGTACTGGTATTCTAGTTCAAAGTCATGCAGAAATGGGAGAATACTCTTAAATTACTGTAAATCACTTTTTATTAATGAGAACTTTATTTTAATTTGTGTAATTATAAGAGACGGTCTGCTCGTGAAAATTTCATTTGTCAGTATGTTTTTATTATTAAGAATTATATTCAAAAATAACTGGAATTCATGAAAATTTTGTTTTAAATAAGTACAAAATACTTTTCTTACAAAAATAAGGTGTCTCAAAAATTTCGTGATCTACAGTACATTTATCCTTAGTGTGCTCAGAAAATAACATTAATCTCAAATGATTACAAAGTCAGTATTTAATTTTATTTTCTGCTGACAGCTAAATAGTGCAACAACATCTCCAGATACTGTCCTGGTGTCCATGGTGATCATCAACATAGGCACCATCACTGCCACCGATGTAATGGTGGAGTTTGATCTCAGTAATGGAATGTTTTCTTCATACTCTACAATGGCTGTAAACACATCAGTAAATACTGAGATTGTGCCTATTTCTGGTCAACTGGAGTTCAAGTGGAGTCCTGGTAACCTTTCAGGTAAAGGAATTTTCAGATACAGTCAAACCTTGTCATCTTGAACTCAGTGGGACTACATTATGAGACCCTCATTTCTTGCTTTATTTCACAGCGGGGGAGGAGAGGTACCTGAGCTTTATTGCGACCCCCTCAGGAACAAATGGAGGAAACCTGCAGGCCGGAGACAACATTTACACGGGCCAGCTGTATTTCTCCTACCCAGTGAGCTTTGTTTCTGATGCTTGATTTTATCTAGTGATGAAGATTGATTTATCTAGTGATGAAGATTGATTTATCTAGTGATGAAGATTGATGAAGATTGATTTATCTAGTGATGAAGATTGATTTATCTAGTGATGAAGAAAATCCATGTCATTTTAAACTAAAATCACTAAGACAATAAGAATGCATATTAATTTTTTAATTTTATTTCAGTCTTCAAAATCAATATGCCATATTTGCATAGTTATATGAAAGTGTGAATAAATGCTTCTATATAGATTCCACGGGTTTGTTTTGGATACCCTCAAGGTCAAGAGACCACAAAACTAATAGTTTTAAAGTTTGAACTTTTGAAAAATTTTATCTTTTTTACACAATTCTTCTGGACGGAAGACCTACTCATTATTAGTGAAAATAAGATCATCTCTATTTTTTTTTTCTCTGTTAATTTAGAACATTTTGACATCAAGTGTTGGACCAATCAGCCTTAGTATGTGTGTCCATGGCATCCGAGATGTTGAAAAAAATGTAAGTAAATAATGGAACATAACGAGATTTAATTTAAACAGAGTTCTGTTAGAACTTTCTATTAATAAAATCATTTGTCTTAATTTATTTTGAGGGTCTGTGCAATGAACTCAGATGATATATGTCTTGTTTCAGATATTGTATCAGCATGGTTTTACTGCCTTGATGTTTTTTGTGGCTTTTTTCCTCGGCATTGCTTTGGTGATTGGAGCTGTTTGTTTGTTTCTGGTGATCAAACGAAAGCGATCTGTGAAAAACCAAAGCTTTACTCAGGTATTTAATGTTCCTAGGCTTATCTTCTCCAATAATATCATTTTTAATTGAAACAGATTTTAATAACTACAAAGACGGATATACATGTACAATCAGAACACTATACAACCAGTTACAGGGAATTTTAATGAATGATACTGTGTTCTTTTTGCAGACAAACTTAAGATTGTCAACTCGAGGTAAAACTATACTGATGGATGACAGGGATGCAGACAAGACGGGCCACACCATTACTGACTTTAGGTAAGAAGCAGGGTCATTTTGAGAATGAGCCTAGGGCTAAAAATGACAATAAATTCTTAAATTAGTGCTTAGAAATGTAACATTCAGAACTGGTGCTCAAATTTATCAGTGCTAGATCTTATTCTCATTGATGACCTTCACAGTAGCTCAGTTGGTAGAGTGCTTGCTCCATGGTTGGAAGGTCGTGTGTCCGCGACTGACCTAAGTCGATAAAAAATAGGTAGCAACTGTTCCTTCGCCAAGGCTTGGCACTTTGAAGTGAAAGTTGCAGGTCCTTTGGATGAGACCTTAAAAAACCGAGGCCCCGTGTCACAGTAAGCATTAGCAGGATAAAGAACCCTCACTGCTCAATGGCCCTGAGTGCCGAGTAAAGGTCTAAATTTGAAGCCCTTCACCGGAATTTGGTGACATCTCTATATGAGTGAAAAATTCTCGAACGGGACATAAAACAACATACAATCAATCAATCATATTCTCATTGATAGATTATCATTATCTATTTAATAATTTCAAAATATAATGATTTTAGTTAAATGACCGTGTTGTATTTTGAATTTTTATTTTTGCCAGCAACATCAAAGAGGAGGATTCCATTGTTGAGGTCCTGGTTGTCAAAGACAAACTGAAACGCTTCAGAGAACTAGACAAGTAAGAATAGTTGGTGTGTGTGTGTGGGGGGGGGGTGTCAAAGGTAGTGGCAGGTCCTTGTTTTAATTTAAATGAATGAAAAAAAAGAAACAGAACCAAACAATGTAAATATCAAGTGGGATGCTAAGTGGTAACTGAGGTCAACATCTTGGATGATACTGGGCATTAAGGTCCTACACTTGATTTTACTTGACATAGAGTCAAATATTGTTTCATACACATGTAGCCCATTGTATTGGCGAGTAGCCTGAATGCAGAGGGGTTCATGACTAATAAATTCAGAAAACAAATACAGTAGAAGTTGTGACTGTCTTTTTGTCTGCAGTTTTATATTAATTTTGTATTTCTTATTTCTTTATGAGAGAATTAAGTATTAAAGTCTTTATCTTTAATTTTGTTAGCTTTAAATTTCGCGGTTTTTGTAGTGAAAATATTATTAGAATAAAATTTTTTTATGTGTTCAGGTCTGATCAGATAATCAATACCTTAAAAAGACTTGTATTATTATTTGATATATGAAAAATAGATCTACCAACACTCCACTCCCCCCCCCCCTCCCAAAAAAAATATGACAATAAATTAGGAAAAAATGAAGAGCTGATGAAAGTTTGGAATTAACAACTAAGGACATACTTGTACATAAAGAGTAAACCATGTTTGAAATTGAGTGTACTGATTATTTTAGCTTGGACATTGTGTGTACTGTGAAGGCAGATACGGACATTGAGACACAGAGGACAGATGCTTCATTGAAGGCTACTGCCATGTTGATTAGAGGACTTATCCACAACAGGGACATCGGCCCGCAAGTGTATGAAGCCGCCGACAAAAATGCCAAGCAGCGCAGGCTACTGCTGGACGCTAACCTTGATGACGAATTTCAGCGACAGAATAAAAAACTCAGAAAGAAGCTGGCAGCTAAAAATAAGGTCAGAGTTTGATATGCAAGGGAAAATAAATGAGTCTATATGCCCTCTGAGACAGTATTTATTAGCTTCATCACATTGTAAATATAGGTATTTTGATACTTCAAAATTTAGATGATATACTGGTCATGAACTATTTGGTACAGTTATGAGAGAGTGCATGCATTCTTTATTGATATTTAATGACCCAGAATTATATTTTGGCAATTAATATTTTTGAATTAGTGCATGAATTCTAAAAAATTGAATCCTGCTTGAATTATTATACATACTCCATGTATAACTTTTTCCTGGATCCGAAGTGTTCTTAAAGGGAAAGTACTTTCTTGTCCTATAATTGTGTGAGTTGTATGCAAACTTACATAGCGCTGTTGTACAAGAGTATATTTAACATAGACTTGCATAAGTTATACAGCTGTTATTTTTTGTTGTAGGCCAAATTGTCCAGAACTCTGCAAAAACAGAGGGAGGAAAAGAAGAAACTTGTCAGTGATATCGCAGATCTGGGAGACAATGTAACTAATTATGAATACTATTACATGTAACAAGATATGGTTTTTGTACGATTGAAAATTAAACTTTTTCCATGTAATGGCTATTGCATGTATTGGTTATCATATTAAATGGTCATATAATTGTTATAACAATGATCTTTTCATGTAATGGTAATTGTATATTTTGGTTTTATATTTACTGAATTGGTAATGGTTATACCATGTAATGATCACTCTATGTAATGGGGTTATTGCATGCTTTGATTATTATAAAATGGTTAAACATTGTAATGATTCTAACATGTAATTATCTTACCATGCAATGATTATTACATATAATTATTATCACATACCTTAGTTATTACATTTATTTGTTATTCCATGTAATGATTATTACATATCATTGAAAAATGAAATGTTTTCTATCAACAGGAGAGACAGCAGCTACTGGACATGATGGACAAGGAACACCAGACAGAACTTGATGAGCAGGAGTTCCTCCTTAAACTGGAACAAGACGAGGAGACAGAAAATCTCAGGAAGGTCTGTCCTCATGAATGTCCTCATTGAAATTTATTCCTCATTCTCTCACTAAATCAAATACAAACATTTTAGCCTTAAATCTCTAGTAACAGCTCAGGTTTCCAGTCCTCATTCTTACAAGAGAAGAAGCAATATAATTTGTTCTCTTCAAGTTAATACATGTATATCATTCTTTGTAAAATATTAGCTAGAGGCTGCATTATGTTTAAATCACTGGAGGAGTAGGATGATTTTGATTTTGTCATTGACGGGAGTTTTTCTGTAAGAATAAGCTTGTTTGATGTTTTGAGCTATGAGATGTTGATTTTGTCGTTGACAGGAGTTTGCTGTCAGAAGAAGCTTATTTAATGTTTTGAGTTATGAGATGTTGATTTTGTCGTTGACAGGAGTTTGCTGTCAAGAGAAGCTAATTTAATGTTTTGAGTTATGAGATGTTGATTTTGTCGTTGACAGGAGTTTGCTGTCTGGAGTTACAGCTTGTTTGATGTTTTGAGTTATGAGATGTTGATTTTGTCATTGATAGGAGTTTGCTGTGAGGAGGAGGATGGGGATGAAGGAGATAGAACAGGATCTTTTGGAGGATGTCATGCAGCAGGGCCACCTGGTGGGGGAGAAAGCTGATTGGCTGCTAGAGGAACATCGTAAGATTCAGAGCGGGCTGGAGAAGAAATACGATGAGGAAGTGGCAAGACAGAGATTCATCCTGGAGGAGAAGTTAGAGAAACGAAAAGCCATGGCTAAATTGGAGGTGTGAAAATGACTTTTATATATTTATGCATTGTACATGAGAAAGAAACATGGAATATTTACTGAAATGCATGATGACTTGTTTGTTTGATCGATTTTATATTGTTTTCATCCATGATATCAGGAACAACAAGAAGACGATGAAAGTGATGTGTTGAACACAATGGCTAGTCATCAGATAGAACTTGTCAACAAAGCTAAGTCCAAAAAGTAAGTATCACAGTTTTCATAATGTGGAGTGAGAATGTGAGTCAAATTTACATGTAATGGAGCACGATGTAAATCAAAGTACTGAAATGTGAGGGATTGCAGGATTATTAACATATCTAAATTCCTTTATATGTCATTTTCTTGTTGAACTGATGCGTTTAATTTAGGGATGTCAACGAGTACCCGGTTAACCGGGTACTCGCTCGAACGTCCGAGTATCGAATACTAAAAATGGTATTTGGTTACCCGGAAGTGTATTTTTTCTTAATTCAAAGTACATATTTTTATCAAAAATTATCAAAAAAATAACTTAAAACTGCATGTTATTATTAGCGTGTTGTCATGTACACCTGTAAATCACCCTTTATCACCCTTTATCGCCTGTGGCTGTGTATATAAAGTAATTAGTGACCTATTATGGTCTTTAATTTTTGGTCTATTATCTTCAAATCATTTTTATATAATTGAGTTAATAATTGGCTGCGAAAACTGACATGCATAGAAATGCCGCTACCCACTTCAAAAGCGAAGAAATGTTTAGAAATAATTGAAGATTAAAAAAAATGTTGAAAGTCAGTTTGTGTAGTAAGTTTATACGGGGGAAGCAACCAGCTTATACTAGCGATTCCAACAACGTCCGTCCCTTCCCTTTGGCTAGTCTAATCATCACAAACCTGTGTAAAAGATTCTTCTCCTTTTGCGTTGATGAAATAGATCCTAAACAAGAACTGTAAACCATTTGCAATTTTTGATGTATTAATTGTGTCTTTTGTGTTTATTTGATAAATAAATCTAGTCCCCCCAAAAAAAAAATCAATCCCATTGAACTCGATGTTTATATGTATAAATTTATAAATGTGATAAAACAGCTTTGGGGTTTGACAGAGCTTAACGTGACACAAGAAAATTAACACACTTTATGTACATTTTTACATGTACCGAGTACCCGGGTACTCGATCGGAAAAACGTCCGAGTAACCGATTATCAAAAATTGACCGATTTGATATCCCTAGTTTAATTGAATGTACATGTCAGGTGATGTTCTCTATTTTGTAATGTAATTATGTGGGTAAACAATCTCGTGCAATTTTCAAAAAATAAATTCACATTGAATTTATATCTGCGAAGTCTTAGCTTAGTTTACATTTCTTCCACTATAAACCCTTTCATCCCCATCGCGTTCCTGAATTCTTTATTGACCAGTTTTTAAGGACAGTCAGACCTCAATATCTTAGACTTGCCTGGGCTTTCAAAGCACCTCTAGGTATTAAAGTATTAGAGATTTAGTAGTTGAAACTGGAATTAAAAGTAGAGTCAGTGCCACTGATTCAATATGACATATGTAGGGTATTAGACATAGCGATCAGATGTGTTTGTTAGCCATTGTCCAGATAGGTCAGTTGGTGGAGCAACTGTCTAGAGATCGGGGGGGGGGGGGGGGGGGGGGGGGCTTGTTTTAAATCCTGGTCTGGTCTGTGACATTTTCTCCCTGCCTATGTTACAGACATATCCCTAATATGACATATCCCTGGTATTAGACATATGAATATTAAAGATTCTGAAATTCAAAATCATCATTTTTTTTGTTTGTTTTTTTTTTTGTTTGTTGTTTTTTTGTTGCAACTATAATTACATAATAATTTACAACTGTTTACTTAGTTTATGGTTTTAATGACAGGGTAGGGGGCCTGACATCTGATGAGGCAGCAGAGTTGATTGCCTTAGCCAAGGCAGACATGGTGGCCTTAAAGGAAAGACTGGACAAAGACAGACAGAAACAGGAGATGGCACTGTCTAAACGACTCAGTGAAATGAAGCGGAAAAGACTTAACCAGCTGGTGAGCTTACCATTATCAAAATAATATTTGAATTATTTGAACTGCTTAGAAACATTGCATAAATTCTCTAAGCATTAACTTTTATCTTTTTGCTAGAATGTCAAATTCTACAAGTCTAGACTAGCTGTCAATCAAAATCAATTGCAACAGTACATGGAGTCTGAAATGTTAAATAATTGGTTTCTTTTTAGATTTTTACAAAATATTTCTTTGTTTTATACATGTAGTATAAATAAATAATTGAAAGTTGAAATAAGCTTTTCTTTATGTTGTACGTTCTTTGGAAAATTGTTAACAAGGGCTCTGAAATGCTAAATATCAGATATTATATACATGTATTTATATTAAAGAAATCTGAACAAAAAGGGGAAATGGATAGAGTTTTGAAGACCATGGAGACACAAACAGAAGGACCGATAGGTAAAATATAAAGAATACAATGCTTTACATGGCCTCATTAAATAGGCACGTGATCTCAGTTACTCTATTGACTTAAACAGTTTACAAAGCAGATCAGTTGTACAGAAAAACACATTTACAACCAAGTCCCAGGATGAACCATTTTGATTCATTTTATAACCATACTTTGTCATAATCATGTTAATTTCAAACCACAGGAACTGAAAACCATTTCACTCTTAGTATAAGCCTGTTGATTGTAACTGTTTTTACTCTACTTGGTAAAGACATGATGATAAAATTTATTTTTCTAAGATCCACTCATGTACATTGAGACAAAGCTCAAACTGGAAGCCAAGCATCGAGATGAGATAAATGAAGAGGAGACCGAGATAGATGAAAATCATGCCGAGCAGCTGCGCGAGCTCAATGACCAGCTGACAGATCATGCCAAGGATGAGATGACTCAAGCTGAAAGGAATTTGATTAAAAAGATTGGTGAAATAAGTAAGTGCCTTATTCTACTATTTTAAAAAAAAAACTGGATTTCATTTTTTTTTTTAGAAAATGGTGCAGTTTCTATACATGTGGAAAATTTAGTCATTAGAATTTATGGAAAATGTTGTGTCAATTACATCCAGTTGTATTGAAAAGACAAAAGAATTCCAAGATTATAATTTATGACTTTGTAAAATTACAGATAATGTGTCTATGGACCAGTATGATAAACTGCTGAGTCAGCATGAAGAGGAGGTGACCCGTCTACAGGCCCAACAAAAAAGGTCTCAGGAGAAACAGAAAGCCAACCTTCAGGTTAGAATCACCTCCATTCTCCAGTCTGTCAACTTGTTCTTTCCTTCACAAGAAAATTTTCTTATAATTCTCTACTCTGTTGAAAGTAAGGTTGGCTTTCAAGCAACACCTTCAGGTTAGAATCCCTGCCAGTCTACAATTTGTCACAATGTTCAATCATTCATGTAAAATAATATTGCTAATATTACTTTTAAATACATTGAATCAGATAGTGATCAAGCTATCCCTAATGTAAGAAACATCCCTAGAACTGCTTTAATATATATTTGTTAGTAGATTCAAGCTTGAACCCTACATGTTCTTTTTTTGTAGGAGAAGCTTGCCAGGGCTAAGGAGGAGTGGAGGCAGAGAAAGGAACAGGAAAAAGTGGAACAGGAGGAAATCAGAAAACGGGAGGACGAGGTCGTCAAGTAAGTACATGTGCACTTAGGACAACAGAATTATTAATTCACCTGAGCTGAAAGCTAAAGTGAGCTTTTCTGATCACCCATTGTCTGTCGTCCGTCTGTCTGTCTGTCCGTCCGTCTGTAAACTTTTCACATTTTCAACTTCTTCTCAAGAACCACTGGCCAATTTTAACCAAAATTGGTACAAAGCATCCTGGGGTAAAGGGGAGTTTAAATTGGAAAAATCTTTAAAAATCTTCTTCTCAAGAACCACTGGTCCAGAAAAGCTGAAACTTATGTAGAAACATCCTGGGGTAGTGTAGATTCTAAATTGTTCAAATCATGACCCCCGGGAGTAGGGCGGGGCCACAATAGGGAATCCAAGTTTTAAATTGAAATATATAGGAAAAATCTTTAAAAATCTTCTCAAGAACCACTGGGCCAGAAAAACTGAAACTTATGTAGAAACATCCTGGGGTAGTGTAGATTCTAAATTGTTCAAATCATGACCCCCGGGGGTAGGGCGGGGCCACAATAGGGAATCCAAGTTTTACATTGAAATATGTAGGAAAAATCTTTAAAAATCTTCTCAAGAGCCACTGGGCTGGAAAAGCTGAAACTTATGTGGAAGCATCCTTGGGTAGTGTAGACTCTAAGTGTTCAAATCATGACCCCTGGGGGTAGGGCAGGGCCACAATAAGTACTACAAGGGGGGAAATCAGGTGAAAAACAGCAAGGCCAAAGTTACTCAGGTGAGCATTGTGGCCCATGGGCCTCTTGCTTTTTATTTAATATAATTTCTTGGCTTTAAATTATACATAGAGTACATTCTAGATAGGATTTTTCAAGGAAATTTCAAATTTTTAAATTGGAATATGATGTTAGCATTAAATGCTAGCTGCATGAATTTTGTTTCTATTAGAAACAAAGTCTGACCTATTGATGCCATAAAGCATTATTTTGATTTTATGAAAAATTTTAATGAAAGCATAATGAATAGAAGTATAATTGTATGTTTTTGTTGACAGGAAGTTGTTAAGTGGTCAGATGTCCATGTCTGAGGAAGAGAGAGACAGAATCATGAAAGAACATGAGAAACAGATGGTCAAGGTTGAGAACAGGTCAGACATTGTACACAATCATTTAACATTACTGAGTGCTACTGTGTAAAATCTGATCACTTGAAAAGAAATCTTCATGTTCATGTGATTTTGTTTACAGTTTAACACTGAACAAGCTGAGGCAGAAGAGAATCCTGGAGGACAAACTGGCAGCTAAGCGAGCTCTACAGATGGAGAAACTGGAGAAGAAACAGTCACAGGAGTACGAGGTTTGTCGAGACATCCTTAATTCTCTCCACACCAGAAATCACAGAGGGCTTTGTCAAGCCAATGCATTGTAGTATTTTTATGGGTTCCATAAACTAAGTAAAGTTTTTGGAGAAAACCAAATACTGAACATATACTAGGGAAATTACAAAATTAGTGTTAACAATTAAATTTTTTGTGTGCAGAAAAAGATGAGACAAATAGAGCATAATGGGGAGGAGTCTGATCCTGAGAATCAGCGAGAAAAGCTGGAGCTGATGAGGAACCAGTTTCATCAGAAAATGGCCGTTCTCCAGGGTCAGAAACTCAACATTGATGATGAGCTGGAAATGGTATGTCTGTTGGAGTACAAATGTATTAATTTTTATGCTTCTACAGAAGAGTCTGTATAAACTACTAATGTGAATTTGATAGACCTGCAAGCATTATTTCACAATAAATGCCATTAAATTGAAGTTTCAACCTCTGTTGGTGTTTGAAAATTTCATTTGGTCAGTATCTAAATATTAATAAGTTCATGCTTGGGGCCTGCCCCCCCCCCCCCCCTTCCCCTCTCCCAGTTCCTATGGCAATGAAGTTAGTACATATGCAGTACTAATTTATTTGCTTGTCTTGTCTTCACAGCTTTGAGAAGTTTCTAAACAAATTTTCTTATACATTTTTGCACTCACATAGAACTCAAGATATTGGAAATTGATATTTCATAGCTTGCAAAAGTTGATTAAGCTCTATAATGTATTTTATATAATTTATAATGATTTTACGTGAAAAGGTGAAAATTGAAATGTTGAAAGAAAGAGCACTAGCCCTGAAAGACCAAGAGGAGCAGCTAGGGGCCATGGTGGCAGCACTGCAGGTAGCCAAAGCAAGGGAGGTAAGTCACATCTATTTGGCTACTAGAGGTACAATTACCTCCCTTATTAAGGAATGAGTGTCTAATAGTATGGATGTTCTTACTATAAACCTTTTATGGATCACTTTCAGATGGCACTTATTGATGAACAGCAGGCAGCCATCAATAATCTGAAATCAAATCTGATGGATGAACTTAATGAAAGAGGAATATTGTCTGATCCAGAGTGTCAGAAGGTCCTAGAAAGACACAGACAAGTGTGTATTATTACTTACTCCAGATTTTTCGTTGTATGTTGAAAAAATATGCTGAGTTTTGTGTTTTATGTGTTAATGTAAAATAAACCTGAGATGAACTCTCATTGCTGCAGGAACAAGAACAACTGCACAAGAAACTTGACAGTCAAAGAAGTCGACAAGAAAAGGTAAGCTGCCATAATTAGTGTAACTAATTAATTTAATCTGCAATCAGGCTTGATGCTTTATGTTTTTGAATTTTTTTTTTTTTTTTTTTTTTTTTGCACAAAATTAACTTCTTGGTGGAAATAAAAGAATCATTCAGTGTTGTGCAAGTACAACTTTATATCCTTTTCTCTGTGTAGAGTACTCAAAAGAATTATACTTAATAATCTCACATCAATTTCGAAAGTGGAAGGCAATTTGTACAGTATCTAAATTTTGACTTTAATACTTTAAGGAATTACGGAAGAGACTGAAAGAGAGGATTGAACAGAAAGAAGAGATAATGATGCGAGCTCACAAGAGAGAGATTGATGAGCTGTTGTCTACAGCAAAGAACAAAACAGCCCTGAAAATCAAGAGGGCATTACTAGCCCATAAACATACCATGGAGATGGAAAAATTCAGGTATGATGGTTGTGCTTCTGAGGAAAATATTGTAACATAGTACTAGGGATGATGTTTCATGTAGACTGTTGATTTTTTTTTTTTATAAACACAATAAAATACACTGTAAATGAATGACATCCAGTCTGGTAATAAAAAATTACATGACAGAAATGAAAATGAATATCTTTCTCAACGTTATCAGTATGGCTATGCTCATAAAAGGAGAAGTTGAGCAAAAAATGATACATCATTGACTTCTTAACATACATACACTGTGCCTGTATTGAAATTTTGATTGTTTTTCTCTGTATAGGAATAATTTGGACAGACAGATTGCCCAGACCTTAGAGGAAGTGCGACGACAGTTTGAAATCAGGAAAGCCAAGGAAACTCAACAAGAGGTCAGTGTGGGAGTCACTCAGTAGAACACTTCCTCTACAGTAATTTGAAATTCATAACCTTTGATCGAATTTTGCTCACCGATAGTTCATTATTGGTAATCACCTCCCCAATTTCGATTTTTTTTTCCTTAGATTTATTTCAAGTCATTAAAACTTGCATACAAAAAAATTTTACTAACATCCTCAATGTATGAAGTAAGAAGGGGGGTTTATTATATCCAATGTAAATTCTGATAATTTCAATGGATTTTACAGGATTTAACATCCCTTTCGATTTTGCTATAGATTTGCCATACTGGTGTACACACTATAAGCAAGATTTTATTTTTTTTCATTTTACAAATTTTGCTGATTTGGTGTAAGTGGTATATTATACTTTTGTAACATTCTTATGATGTAGGAGCTAAAATTCATCGCTGGTTTGGTACGCGTGGGTTCCTTTGACCAGACAGAGTTGGTAGACGTCCTCCATCTTTTGTATCCACAAAAAACAGATGCAGAAATTAGTGCTGTCATGAAGGAAATCTATGATCCAAACTTTAAACCTCAAGCTCAAGAAGTGCCGTAAGTCCTCAAAAGACTATTTAAAACCGTATAGATTTATGAAGTAAATTAAAATTTTGAAATGTTAGTTAACAACATTTTGAAATGTTAGTCAAGAACATGTACTTGAGAAACAGTGTACTGTCAATGCTGAAATGTTTGCATTGAGGAAAATTTTTGCGAATTTTAAGGCATTATATTGTCTCTGAGTCATAAAAATAAGAAACCTGAAATATAAGCCAACTTGAGTTTTTGTTGTTTAAATATGTCAAAATGAATCTGACACAGTAATTGTGGACATTTCACGTATGTTTATTCCTGCAGTCCTTTATCCCGTCGAGACAGCACTCTGACTGAACGAGTCCGGAGCACTCAGAGTCTGGAGTTATCCAGGCGAGCCTCACTCTCATCCAGGTAAGATTTCAACTGGAATAAATCCAGATCATAGGATAATTAGTGTGCTGCTTGGTATTCCACACCATAGGTTAATTAGTGATCTAGATAGATAGATATTGGAATACCACATACATATAGTGTGCTGCTTCGCAATCTATATTCCAGGATAATAAGTGTTCTACTAGCTACTGAATAGAGATACATGTATATATATATAAGTAGCTCCTCATATTTATATTTCAGAGTCGAGGAGAATGCTAGGTATATTTTAGTCTAGATGCTTGGCCTTCATCTTTGTAGCTTATGTATAACGGATTCTTAATAAGCTAGTTTTGCTTTTTCTCTTTGATTAATTATCATGAAATTTCATTGGTTGGATGTAGAAACACCAATTCTTTCTTTTGACAGTTTTGTAAAATTTAAGCTACAATTATTATATAATCTATGCTACAAGAATGTTACCTCCAGCCAAATAATATTGTATAATTTATATTATCTGTGCTATGCTATAGCTTTAGACTAGTGAAGTAGAAAAGAGGTGCATGAAGGACAGTGGGATAATTGGACATGATTTTAAATTGCAATTAATGCATATAGTAGTAACTACTGTAGCTTAATATTTATATACATATTAGTTAATAAGCTAAATTTACTTGTAGTTTGCTAACAAAGGGACAAAAATGATCTGCATGTAATTCACAGTCAATCAAATTAAACTGGATGTAAATGATGATGATTTTAAGAAGAGTCTGGTTTGATTTTATACATAAAATGGCCCTGCCTATTGACCATGCAGTATCAGTTAACCCTCTGACAATTTTATTCATCTAATATTAAAATAGAAACATCATTTCCATCACAAATAAAATGTTCCTGTTGAGGGTCCCTGTATTAGAGAACAGTCTTAATATTAAACTATGGTGTTCTTCAATTGTCTGGAAAACAGTTACCAAGATTTATTTGACTGCATTGAAAAAAAAAAGAATTTAAATATGAACATTAAGGCATGGATTTAAAGAAAATTAATAAAACATGTAGATGTTTACTTTAGCATCATATATTTGTACTTTGTAGATCACAGGTTGAACTTTAAACTAAGTACTGGTAGTTTGAAAATGTTATTTTGGAAGAAATGTTCATGAAATGGGAATAATGATGTTATTCACGATATCATAATAATTTTTATATCAACCAGTGAGACAATTACATAATTATAAGTCACCATGAGTCCATTTGATATTTAATATTGTCCAACAAATATGAGCAAGTTTTTGATTCTCTAGAATATTACAGCCTAACAGGGCCAAATTTTGAACCTTGCTATTAGTTTTTCTACTGAATAAATTATTTATAAAGCAATTAACAATCACAACAATTAGTATCCCTATATCTCATCAGTAATGTTGAGATTATGTATCTAGTTTACAGCCAGACCTTATTAATACACAACAATAGCAGAAAAGTAGGTCATTTAAGTAACATCAGTCAAAGTGGGACCATTTAATTGAATTAACAAGAGTAAATTTTGTATTGAATGTAGTGAAAGGGGTGGGGGTTAAATGAGACGATGTTGAAATTATATTGTTTTCCAATTCACACATTAAAGGAAAAATTATCCCAAAAATTTTTTACCTTATTTTTTGCTAAAAGAGGGGGATATCAAATTTGGGTCAGTCTGTCCACCATTTTGTCTATCTGTAATACCTCATTCCTGGATATCTCTACGAGTGCTTCAGCTTTTGCAATGAAGTTTTATTATTTTATATTATAACCCCTATGACTTGAAAAAAAAATTCCTGATTGATTTTGAAAACAAATGTCAAAGGTGAAGGTCAGAAATTCATATATGAAGAAGTTTCCATATGGTAACTTTAGTTCTCTGAGTTTTTGCAATGAAACTAAGATGATGCCTCTAAATCATTGAAGACTCTTATAGAGGTTGAGGTCAAAAGGTCGAAGGTCAAGGTAAAAGATAGCATCTTCAGTTCTCTTTGAGCTTTTGCAGTAAAACTCAAGGTGATGTACGTCTCTCGATATCTCCAGCTTAAAAATAGAACCCTTTAAATTTGATTTTAAGGCCAATAGGTAAGGGGTCAAGGTTAAATTTGCATAAATGGCATGAACTGGTTTCAAGATTCACTCAATGCTATCTATAACCTAAAGCAAACCACTTTTGATTTTGAGATGAAAGGGTTTTGTCCTTAAGTGGGGAAGATAAATTCCCAGAATTGGCTTATACTTTCTGAAATATATAGTTTTAAAATAAACTGTTGAAGTTTTGGATAAAGTAAAGGTGACATTGAAATTTTATGAACAGAACGTATTAAACTTGAATTTAGCAAAGGTCAGGAACTATTAGATACAATTCTTTAAGATAGTGAAATTATATACTACATGTATATTGCAGCTATGAATACTAAAAATGGTCTCATTTTAACTGTTCATTCTGGTGTTGTACTGGGTGTTGGATTATTATTACAAGCTTAAAACTTATGCTTTAATTGCTTAATATATTATATGTAATACATATCTCTCTCTATGTAATGATTGAGTTTATTGTATATTCATCTTGGTATTGTAATTTAATTTTCTTAATAATTGTTCATCAAAATTTACCTTCCACTGGTCAGGTCACTCTGAATCATAAAATTTATAAATAAAGAAATATACAATGGGGAGACCAATATTTGTTACCCCCCCCCCCCTCAACATGGTCTATGGTATTATAGCCAATAAGATTAACAATTGTGAATGGATGATAATTAAGTACATGTATTATCAATACAGTACACTGTATTTGACTTTTTTTTTAATTTGATTTATATTTTAATAAATTTAAAAAACATTCTTTCTGTATACGTACAATTACCTTTAATCATTGTCTTCAACATTAAATCTAGGGGATCTTTTAACGTACGTATATAAGTACCACATATTTTGCAATGGATTGTTCTGTTACAATCGTAATCAGACAATAAATACACATTATTAACTTGATTCTTAAGTTGATTGAAATTGTAACCACTGTGTTTTTTTTTTTAATTTGAGGTCGCAGACTTTTTAGTTAAAAACTATACACACAAATAAATGAGTTTTGTGTATAATAACAGAATAAGTTTTATAAGTGACTTAATTAAGACACAGTATGTCTAAAAAATATATAGATATACATTTTTTTTCCTCTTTACACTTGTAATTTTATTTTTTAACTCTTTATTGCCATATTTTAAATTCTCTTGATAATTTGTTTCCAGCAATTTACAAACTTAATGTGTTAGTCATTAATAAATCATTGAATTCTTTTAATATTTCATTAAATATACTAAGTCATTTGAGTCACTCTGGTGACCTTTTGCTTGAATCTCCACTTTATAATGACGCTAAGCAGCATATTAGTTTACAAGACTTGCTTGGTTGAAATTGGACCAGTGGTTCTGGAGCAAAAGTCAAAATGGGAGAATAGAGGACACCTGATTCTCTCATCTTTGCCCATGAACCACTGGGCCAATTTCAAAGTCTTGTCAACTTAGATGCAAGCATCTCCAGAGAATGGAAATTCAAGTTTGTGGGACAGGGATATGGGGCCACAGGAGGGTGCAAAGTTTTACTCAGAAATGAATTTAATAGCTACCCAAGTTATACTGTACATGACTGTTTAACCTGGGTTAATGGGGGCAGTTTATGCTTCATATTATAACCACAAAGTGGTTTATAAAAAAGCATAAATTGTTCCAAGTATAACTTGGGTAATTATTAAATTTATTATTTTATTTTAATTTTCTATTATTAATTAAGTGTCAAATATAAGACAATTTTCCTTTAAAATTTCCTTTATATTGTACATATTTTAAGTGTAACGTCAAGCGAATTGATACATTTTGACATAAGTAATATTGTGATGTTGGCAACACAGGTTAAATATCTGATATGAACTATTATTTCTATCCAATCAAAAGCTAGAAATGTCCTCAATATCATATTCTGTTTAATTTGTTCACAACCAAATACCTTAAGTAGATATATTATGACTCTCAAGTTTTACAAATTAATATTTTAAATTTTAATTTATATACCCAGGGGCCAACACATTCAATATTTAATCTCATTTTCTTTGATTTAGATGTCCATGCATTGTGTTTATACATGTTATCTAATTATCGTAATTTTATATCTAATTCAATTTAAATCAGTGAATTATTTGAAAATTAAATTTTAAAGAGTTGGGATTTATTTGAAATTTTATTCCAAAAATGGTTTTCAGTAAACTAAAAAGTTAATTTACTATGTTCAAAATAACAAAATGTCAAATGACTTTGTTTTTAATAGTTTTGAATCTTTGATCTTGTCACCCTTTATTTATGATTTGTCTAACTCACTGATTTTTAATTTTGATTCAGATCTCAAAAGAAGCGCTCCTCCAAGAAATCTCGCCGTACGAGTGACCAGAATGTTGACTCCATCTCAAGACCCCTCCCTGAAATCCCCAAAAGACGTACCTTACGAAAACTGAATGAGAATAATGAATCTGATGATGATGAATACTTGTATTTAGATAAAAGACCCGAGCCAATTGGAGAAGTCATGGAAGCGCGGAGAGTGGATGACTTCGAGACTCTGCCAACCTCTGGTCTACCCTCCAAATTACCTCCCCTAGAAACCAAAGTACAGAAAAAGGGGGGCAGAAAGAAAAAGAAAAAGGTTCTACAAAAACTTGCACACGTAGAAAGTGATGAAGAGCTGTAATGACAAAAAAATATCATTAATGAAAAATAATTCTTATTATTCTTCAGGAGGAGCTAACAGCAAGGTTTCTTTTGATACTAGTACACTCAATGATTCTGTTTCATCTGGTCAACAAATTCCAGTACATTTTGTGTCATATATTTTACATTATTGTTTAATTTGATTTTGATTTAGATTTGATTAATTTTTTATTTTTAATTATTCATTCATATATGGAGGAAAATCAAACATTTATCCTACTAGTAACATGACTTTGTCATTTGTGTTGTTTTTCCCAATCATCTACCTCATGGTACTTCCATTACTACATATCATCAAGGATAACAATAAACAAACACTTGGACTTATTTCACCCATGATTGTAGTATGGTTTTAGAGCCAAAAAAATCCTCTTTGTTTTAATATCTCTCTCAGATAGTGAAGTAATGTAAAATTTACCGTAGATATTGAGAAAATTTTAGAAATAATGCAAAATATGGCTGTGGTAATTGGATTAAAGATTTTATTTTTTTCATTTTTTTTAACAATAGCAAAATAGCAAAGAACGAAATGCTATATGATTATGCATGTGTAATCAAAATTTACAATATTATTAAAAAAAACATTCAATTTAACCAGTTTTGAGGAAATGAATGAAGAGCATACAAATGTAAACATGAAAGAAAGCAGTTTTACATAGATAATTTAGCATATATTACGTACTGGTGTTAAATTTCAATGCACAATACTTAGGATTGGCCTCTACGCACTTTGTAATTAATTTTAATTCGCACCTCCTCCTTCTCTCAAGGGTAAATCAGTAGCATAAGAGTCTTGCTCATTATTTGATTCAAACTGTGATATTTATATATTTTTATTCTTTATTTAATATTTAAATTTTTGTATTTTTTCTTATTGCTCTTATAATGATGTTTATTATTTTAGGAGATTATTTTTAATGAAATAATTTTTTGTACATGTTCTTTTTGAAATAAAACTGTCAGATAATATATAACTAGTGTCTTTCTTTTTATCTCTATTTAAACTTTGGTATCCCCAACACCAAAATCATATATGTCAAAAGTAGCTGGATATAAGTTTGAATTTCATCTTTATTTTGAAACCTTAAGTTCCGTAAATATACTGTAATTTATGATTACCTTAATTGTCGTGTGATCGATGTTTGATATAAATATTCCCGCTACTAGTTCAACTACTAGCACGCAGCAGAAATATTTCCTAACTCTTAAAGAAAATAGAAATAACTAGTTCTTAACTAGTAATAATAAATGAAACTAGCACAATGACTAGTAATATTAATTTAGCCTAGCACTACATATGTACTTCAGTCACATATACATGTATACTGAAATAGTACACACCTTAATCTGGATAAAAACTGGCGGCCTTTCTTTAGGACACAAAGGAAACGAGAGAGCACTCGATACTAAGCGTCTGTGTATTTATAGAACTTCCAAAACCCGCAATAATTAATAACCAATCATAATTATTAATTCCATCCCGTAATTAATATTTAGCCAATGATACATAATTATCATCCCGTAATGAAATCTCACTCCCGTACATCGTGTGTAAAATTATTACAGTACATAAATAAAATATAATTTACATATACCTTCAAAATAACTTCTTTTTGATCTCTTGAGAAGCTGAAGGTGAAGAGAAATCACCACCGTCAAATAAACGTTAAAATTTGCTAGTATTTTTTTTTTCATATAGAAAGATTTTGACGTGGCAAATTTAGGGGAGATTATTCCCCATTCCAAAGCATGAATCTGTGTCATCCAATTATTAACATTATGGTAGAAATTTTGAGTTTTAACAAATTCTCCATAGCTCTTCAGGCAAAAATATGTTTGGGTGAAAAGTATGTGGTAATTTTACTTGCACTCAATTGCAAATTCCAACCGCTTGTGTTCATTGTCGGGTGATGATTGGTACATTGCTATGAAATCAAACACTTGTCTGTAATCCCATGGATGTTGGAGGACACAATGGATTATCACCTTGACTTATTCCATCGAGACACACTATTTCTCGGTGACGATCACCCTTCTCTATTCCTGTCGACAGTCTTGATCGATCGTGTTCGATTCAGCATCTATGTGACTGCATGTCCAGAACTTTGCAAATCCTTTGTCGAATAAACACCAAATTATCAGAGTGGTTTTTTTTTTTAGGTATACCGTCTCTAAGCTATCCTCCTGTTTTCTAGAGGATATCGTCCTTTTTGACATATTTTGTCAAATAAATCTGCAATATAATTATTTTAATGTAGTCATGTTGCAGATTTTATTTGACAATATTTTTTTTTATTATTTTCTCGAATCAAAATATCATCCGCAGCAATCTCTGTAGAATCTGTTTCCTCGATATGACGTAATATTGGGCGTAGATTCAATCCTCGCAGAAAACGGTTCTTTGGCATTTGCAGGAACTTCTTTCGATTCTATCTTCTTGACTTTGCTTAAGGACAGATGATACAAACAAAAAATTGATGCCTAGTTTGGTATAATATATTTGGACCATTTTTATTGTAAATTATAATATCAAATTTCTAGAATACATTGTGTTAAAAACTTGTCAACTTTCCATGATGTTTGAAAGTGTACCTTTTTGTCGTCAACCTTATAAATCTATATGCAAAATATTTATCACTTTACATGTGTAGGACATTCAACTTGTGGAAAATTGAATGAAAAATTAAAATCTATGTGGCTAAACTTATTCATTTTACTAATTTAAACATGGCTTTTTAATTTTCAAGATTTTTGAAGAAAGTTCATTTATACCATCTGTCTCTAAGACAGCGAAAAGGACGACCACAGCGTATTCGACTTTCATCAGAATCTTGTTTTCACTCACGATTCCTACAAACGCTTGTGGGACCTTTTTCTTAGATGTCGATAGATAAACAGATAGACAAGAATATGTATGTAGTTATCAAAATTAGCAATTCCACTCCAATCAAAAAGAAAACAAAATTATGTAAATAAAGTTTTCTGTTTTCCTAGAATGCTGGTTTATAAGCACAATAATTTTGTCTGTGTATGTGTTCTATGTTCAGAGTGAGTACTGTTGTGTTACTAACACTATAAACTAGAGCAGCAGGGCTGGAAGAAAGAAGAGCGAATATCAAAAAACCCTTTAATAAGAGATATCCTGGTGAAAGAGTTCATAACTTTCAGATGCCTTTTGTTTAATTTTTTTATGTACATTAAATTGTACTAGTATGCCCTCTTTACTATACAATGCAAAATAAGCTATCTTGTAAATTTTGCATTCACCTCCACCTTAGTAATTCAAAAACAACTTGATTACTTAAAAATCACTTAAGGTTCACTGAAACTCTGATAAGAGAGATAACTCTTAAAATGATAAACGTCTTTAATTCCTTAATGAAATTGCCAAGTTAAAATGTTATTTCTGTCAAATCTTGCCAAAGAAAGGTATGCTGAAATTGTTTGCATTTTAATGATAAATCAGATTTCTTTTAAAAAAACAAACTTTTAAGAAACCATTATCTGGGTGACCACAGGGATAATGAACCTTAAACTGACACATGTTTTGCATTTAATTCTTTGGTTTAACGTTTTTTAGTTCTTTTTTTAGAATTAAGATAAAACAAAGCACATATTTTTTGGTTTTTTTAATGTTAAACTTTGAAGCAGAAATTCAAAAATCTCACTGTGCCAAATATCACTAGCACTTTCAGGCCGATATTTAAACATATACATGTTTTTTGTTCCTCTATTTTTTTCATGCATGGTTGCAGATTCCAATGGTCGATGGCGCTGAAGCGTTCTTCCTAATACGAGTAGTATTTTTTCATGCATGGTTGCAGATTCAAACGTTCGATGACGTTGAAGCGTTAGTACTACTAGTATGCACTATGCCTCTTGTCCTTTTGTGTGATTTTCTAGAAAACAATTCTTTGATCCCCCTCCTAACCCTGACATTAACAACACTGTATATGATAGGATTTGACGCATGCCCAATGAAAAAGGAGTACTGGAATATTAATCCACTGGTCACTTCAAAAGCGTAGAAAGAATAGGGAATCCAACAAATTACGTACAAAAATGTACAGATGGTTAACATGGTCCACGTTTTCGCTTGCATCGTAGGTCTTTTCTGGGCGGATGCGAGGATTCTAGAATTTGTTGAGTTTTGCCTTTTCTGTGATCCCTTGAGTGGTGAAGATACCGAATTAGTACCTTGGCATAACTGGTCACCATTAAGACACGCTGATTCTCGGCGATTTTCACTTTCCTCCGATACTGACGTTCTTTCTAGGTCGATCGTTTTCGATTCTGCACCTTTGTGTCCAAAGCTTTGCAAATCTTTCGGCGAAGAGTTTTCTTTAGCAATCTCATTATTTTCAGAATCTTTCTCCGGGTAGATGGTTTCCAATTTATTCTCTTGTTTTTCTTTGGATATTTTTGATTTTCTTGAAACTAAATTTTCATCCGTCTCAATCTCTATAGCATCTGTGTCCTCGACTTGACGTAATGGAGTAGATTCAACCCTTGCAGAAGACCGTTCTTTGACGTCTGTGTCAACTTCTTCAGAATCTGTCCTCTCGACTTGACATAATGGGGTTGAGACAATGTTTAATTCACCACGGTCATCTACTCTGTCATTGTCGATAGGACAAGCACTGCGTGTTTGACTTTCATTTGAATCTTGCTTCTGTACACGATTTTTAACATTTGATCCTACATATGCTCGTGGAGCCCTTTTCCTATGTCGATAGATAAGTACATAGACAAGAATATAAGTTGTTATCAAAATTAAAAATTCCACTCCCATCAAAAAAGAAATCAAATTTCTGTACCATAACGTTTTCTGTTTTCCTAATATGCTTGTTGTATGAGCACAGTATTTTTGCTGTGTCTGCGTTCCATTTCCAGACTGGGTACTGTTGTGGTAACTTACATTATAAACAAGAGCAGCAGGGCTGGCACAAAGAATGGCAAATAACAGAAACCCTATCATGAAGGAGAGTTTAGTTGTAGATTCCATAGCTTTCAGGGGCCTCCATACCATCATTAAGCGTTCCCAAGCTATCAAAATGAGGATAAGATTAGAAAACCCTATGGCTGCATGACGAAACACTTCGAACGCGTGACAAGCAAAACTGCTTGTCACCAGTCGTAACTGAAACACAATGGTGTAGGGGGCGACAAGCACCATTATTACAAGGTCTGTGATCGCCAGACTCAGGATGTAGGCTCGTCTTGGAAATTGTCTTTTTCTAGATAAGTAAACGGCTATAACAAGTGTGTTGCCAATCGTCCCACAAATAATATAAATGGAAGTGGAAACGAGGAACGATATCATATCTAAATCCATAGTAACTGCTTGAAACATTTTCCCCATTATTCCTCTGTTTCTGCACTCTATACTTGGGCCCGGTGTATGTGTGTATGATATTCTTTTTGGTTGCTGCACTGTGAAAAAAACAAGCAAACAAGAAATGGTTTAACATTGACAATGTTGGTGGGAGATGGTTAATATATATACACGTGGGCAAAACCTTATACAGCTAATAACATATGGTAACATGTCAATAACATATGGTACTTAGGGATATCCGCTCCTCAGCCAGGAATGATAACTCTTAAAATTATTATTTAATTTAAAGTCTTAAAATGAAGCCTAAAATTGAAATCTTTTCGTGCAGAAATGTTCATTTCATGCATCTCAATATGATGCAAGATTCTTTGAAATCTTAAAAAAAAGACTTGTAAAAAGTTGACATTTGTACGCTATATAAAACTACCCAAAAATAAATACATTTTAGAGAAATCGAATTTCCTTTAGAAACCAA